CACTAGCACACTCACTAGCAACACCACTACCCCCCAGCACCTCACTAGCAACACTCACCTAGCAACACTCACCCCCCCCCAGCTACACTCACTAGCACACACTGACACACTACAACCTCACCCAGCACACCCCTCACACTACTAGCCACACTCACTACAACCCCTCACCTAGCACACTACTAGCACACTCACTAGCAACACTCACTAGCCACACTCACTATCAAACACACTACACATAGCCACACCTACAGCACCTCACCCACAACCTCACTAGCACACCCACTAGCACACTCCTAGCCACACTCACTAGCAACACTCACCAATCACACACATCACACTCACCTACAACACTCACCTAGCAACACTCACTAGCAACACCCCACTAGCAACCACTCACCTAGCACACCACACTAGCCCACTCACACAGCACCCTCACTAGCACACTCACTAGCCACACCTACCCACACACCACACACTCCTAGCACTCACTAGCACACTCACTAGCACACTCACTAGCCACACACTCACACACTCTCACTAGCACACCTCACTAGCACACTCACTAGCAACACTCACTAACACACCTCACTAGCACACCTCACTAGTACACTCACTAGCACACCTCCTAGCCCAAAACCTCACTAGAAACTACTACACACTCACTAGCCAACAACCTAGCAACATCACCTCACAGCTACAACACTCACCTTAGCAACACTCACTAGCTAACACCTACACTATCACACTCACTAGCACATCACTCACTAGCACACTCACCTAGCAACACTTACCTACACCCTCACCTAGCACACTCTCACTAGCAACACACCTCACTACCAACTCCTCACCTAGCACACCTCCTACAACACTCACTAGCTACACTCACCTAGCAACACTCACCTACACACTCACTAACAACACCACCTAGCAACACTCACCATCAACACTCCCTACACCTCACTAGCAACCTCACTAGCAGCACTCACCAAGCCTCACCTAGCAACATTCACTAGCAAACACCACACCCACCTAGCCACACTCACCTAGCACACTCACTAGCAACACCTCACTAGCACACTCTACAACACCACCAGCAACCACTCACCTACAACACTCACTAGCCAGACACTCACTAGCAACACACTCACACTACAACACTCACTAGCACACTCACCTAGCAGCACACCTAACACTCACCTACAACACTCACCTAGCCAACCTCACTAGCACACACTCACTAGCAGCACTCACCTACAGCACTCACCTAGAACACCACACTAGCAACAAATCACCTAGCAACACTCACCTAGCACACTCACCTACAACACTCACCTCACTAGCCTACAACACTCACCTAGCAGCCTCACTACAACACTCACCTAGCAACATCACCTAGCAACACTCACCTAGCACACCTCACTAGCACACTCACCTAGCAACACCTCACCTAGCAACACTCACTAGCAACACCTCACTAGCAGCACTCACTATCAACACCTCACTAGCAACACCTCACTAGCGACAACCTCACCTAGCACAACCTACAACTAGCCACACACTCACCTAGCAACACTCACCTACACACTCACCACTACACACTCACTACAACACTCACCTAGCAACACTCACAAGCACACACCACCTAGCAACACTCACCTAGCCAACACTCACTAGAACACTCACTACACAACTACTAGCAACACCTCACTACCCACACCTCACTGGGCCAACCTCTTAGCCACACCTCACAAACCCCACCCCTCATAGCCACACTTTCTTCGGGGACACCTCATGCCACCCCTCCCCTACCCAACCCCTCACTATAAACCCCTCACTACCCAAAAACCTCACCCCCCACACCTCACTAGCCACCCCCTCATTTCCCACCCCTCACTAGCCCAAAACCTCACAAACCCCACACCTCACTAAAAACCCCTAAACTAGCCACACCTCACTAGCCACACCTCACTCCCTACACCTCACTACCCAAAACCCTTTCATACCCCACACCTTACGGAAAAATTACAGCAGGTGATAAAAGGGGGGGGGGGAAGCAGGTTTTGGGTGAGGAAGGGGAATAAAAGGAATAATAGGCTTTGAAATTTAAATATAGTGAGCCATATATATAAAGGGAGCGAGTCGCTTCATTACGTCATGATGTAAACCCAATTAGGCGAGAGTTTGGGGAGAGAGAGAGAGAGAGGGGGAGAGGGGAGAGGAGAGAGAGAGAAAAAGAGGAGAGAGAGGGGAGGAAGAGAGAGGGGAGAGAAGAGAGAGAGAGAAAAAGAGAGAGAGAGAGAGAGAGAGAGAGAGGGGAGAGAAAAGGAGAAGAAGAGAGAGAGAGAGAAGAGAGAGAAGAGAGAGGAGAGAGAGAGAGAAACAAAAAAAACAGACAACAACAGACAGACAGACAGGACAGAGAGACAGAGACGACAGACAGACCCCAAAACCCACACGACACCAAAAAGGGTGGTGTAGGGTGTTCCCCCAAGTTCCAGGGTTGTAGGGTAAAAACCAAGCCCCCCAGGGTGTGTGGGGTTAAAGCAAGTTCCCATGTGTAAAGGGGAACCAACGCCCGGGTTTTGTGTAGGGTGAAGCAAGTTTCCGGGTTGTGTGTAGGGGAACAAAGGGGCCCAGGTGTTTGTAGGGTAAAGGGAAAAGTTCCCAGGTGTGTGTAGGGTAAAACCAAAGCGCCCAGGTGTGGGGGGGGTTTAAGAAAAGTTCCCGGGTGTGTGTAGGGCCCCCCCCCGCCCCCCAGGTGTTGTAGGGGAAGCAAGGCCCAGGTTGTGTAGGGTGAAGCAATTTCCCAGTTGTGTGTAGGGTAAACCCAAAGCGCCCGGGTGTTTATTTTTCCCAAGTGCCCAGGTGTTTTAAGGGTGAAGCAAGTTCCCAGGGTGTGTAGGGTGAAGCAATTGCCCGGGTGTGTAGGGTGAAGCAATGCCAGGTGCGTGTAGGGTGAAGCAATTTCCCAGGTGTGTGTAGGGGAAACAAGGCCCAGGTGTGGGGTGGGGGTGAAGAAAGTGCGCAGGGTGTGTAGGGTGAAGCAAGTGCCCATGTTGTAGGATAATAAAAGTGCCCGGGTTTGTGTAGGGTGAAAAATTTCCCAGGTGGGGCGTGGGGTGGGGCCAAGTGCCCAGGTGTGGGGTGGGGTAAAGCAGATCACTGGTGTGTGTAGGGTGAAGAAATTGGCCCAGGGGGTGTTTGGGGTGAGGAAAGGGTTCCCAGGTGTGTGTAGGGTAAAGCAGATGCACTGTGTGTGTGGGGTGAATCAAGTGCCAGGTGTGTGTAGGGTGAAGAAAGTGCCCAGGTGTGTGAAGGGTAAAGAAAGTGCCCAGGTGTGTGTAGGGGAAAGAAAGTGCCCAGGTGTGTTAGGGTTAAAAAAGTGCGCAGGTGTGTGTAGGGTAAAGGGGAAAGGGCCCCCAGGTGTGTGTAGGGTAAAAGAAAGTCCCCAGGTGTGTTAGGGGAAGAAAGTGCCCATGTGTGTGTGGGGTGAAGCAAGTGCTCAGGGGGTGTGGGGTGAACAATTGCCCAGGTGTGTGTATTGGGGAAGCAATTTGTCAAAGAGAAATAAAAATTAGTGCAACAGACTTGTTCCTTTCAAAAAAAACCCCGAAATACTAAATAAAAAATTCCCGGGCCACAAAAACCGCGAAACGTCCCAAAAACCAATCCCTACCTCCCAAATTTTGTTATTTCTCATCACTCTGACCATATGGGGAAATTGTCACCACTTGTAAAAAAAAAAAACCCCAACTTAGAACAAATTAACTAAGAGATTTAACCCCTATTTTATTTTTAAAAATTAAAACAATAAATGTTTATTTTTAAAATGTACATAAAATAGAGTAAAAAAACTAATCTTCATCAGTGATGAAAATCGTGTTTTCCGTTTTATACATTTGCGTCCCTTACCCTTTTTGCTTTTCCCCTTTTTTACACGGTAGCAGGGCAGGTTGTTTCTTTTCTTCGTGTTTATTAGTAAACCGTAGGCGTTATTCCTTTTTTTTTATTTTTTGTATAGATTAAAGGAGAAAGGGTAGTGGGCCCAGGGGGCTGTTCCTTGGGGGGCCCCATTTGTTTGTGGCACTCAACCAAAGTCTCCACTGAGCATTTGTTGTTGGGTCTCAGGTTTAGGGAAATCTGGGGCCCCAAACCGGGTTCAATTCGGATTCCTCCGGGTCCAGTTGAGGTCCACAAAAGGGGGTAGTGCATCTAGTCGCATAACGACTTTAGCTTCCCTTTTTCTTTATTACCCTTTCCAAAGGTTTTGTGAAACTATGGGCGAGGGTTTTTTGTTCAAAAATTTTTGTATAAAGGGGAAATTTAAAACATTCGGGCAATTTTAGAGGAATTTAAAAACGTTATTAATAAAAACTCGCCGAAGAATTTGGGCCTTTTTTGAAATAATCAAAACCCTTTTCCAAAAAAAAAAATTTGGGAGAAAAATTTTTCCCAAAAAATTCCAGGTAAGGTAGTATCCCACTTATTTAAGGGGATATTTTTGGGCTCTGATTTTTAAACTAGACAGAGGTATAAAACAAGAGGGGGGTGTGTGTGTTGTCTTTGAGTTTACTGCATACCCCCATTAGGGGTTCAGGTTTTTTTTTAAATTTGGTTTATGAACAGGGGATTGAGCAGCCTTAATGAGCCTTTGTAGTCGATAGACTTTTAAACCCCAAAAACTAATCAGGGCCCATCCCTGACTTTGAAAATTTGGGTGCTGTGACCCTCATCAACTCAAACCAGGGGTGTTTTGATAAATTTTTTTATCCAGACCCGGCCCAAATTTCGGTTTTTTAAAATTGTACATTTCTGACCCGGGGGACCTGGGGTGAAAAAAGAGTCAAGGGGCGATGACCCCCTGGGTAACTTTGAAGCACCCCTTTAAACCAGGTCCTTTTAACTCCCTATGACTTCCATTCAGGGGACCTCTGTCTGACCCCTCTACTGATCTCTCTTCATTCAGATAACTCTGAATTTGTCTACTGACCTTTATTCAGTTGGCCTCTGGCCCCTCTACTGACCTCCACATCCTGTCTGGTGAACTCATTGGTGCCATTCTTCTTGTTGATGATCTCTGCTACACCGATGACCTCACCTTCGGTATTTACAGACCGGCATGCACAACACACTCATGGTCCTGTAGCTGTTCGAGGGTCGATGCTGGCGTCGAACCTTGGGTCCTGGAGAGAAGAAGTCGAGTGTCGTTAATGACAGATGTGAGAGTTCGAGACTGAGAAAAAGGAGGATGAAGCTGGGAGGGGGAGTGGCTGTTACTTGAAGTGTGAAGTTGAATATTTTTCATTATTTTCGAGTGTGGGTTTTAAGGGGGCAGCTCGAAGAGTTTCATTGTGTGGATCAATAAAAGTTAATAAAGGTCTCCACTGAATCGAAGTGGATGTCTTTTGTTGACTGGGAGGATAGGGGGAATAGTTGGGTTTGTTGATCGTGAAACTGAAGGGTTAGTTCTTGTGTGTGTTGTCCAGTGGTGTGGGAAAGGAAGGGGTAGTGAGAATTACTATTAGAACAGCTTGTAAGAAATGGTGACTTCTGTTGTGAGGTGGTGAGGTTAGGGTAGACATTGTGAGTGTGACAGAGTCAAGTACGAGTCTGTCTTCAGGTACGAGGAAACAGACGTGAGTTTGGTAAACCTCCCTCCCAGAATACTCAGCCATTTGTGGTTATGAGGGAGCCGAGCCTCCTAGCTTCTAACAGTGACGCTAAATCTCACACGACAGACTTCAGTAAACTTTCTTTCTTCTCGAAGGAAGCGTCGTACCCATTCTTAAAACTGCTTGTACGATATTATTTAAGTGGGATTTACCAAAACAATCCAACTTCTCCCTCTCCCCTCTTCTTCTCTCTCTCTCTCTTCCTCTCTCTCTCTCTCTCTCTCTCCTCATCTCTTCTCTCCCCCTCTCTCTCTCCCCTCTCTCCTCCCCTCTCTCCCTTTTCTCTCTCTCCCCCTCTCTCTCTCTTCTCGCCTCTCTCTCCCTCTCTCTCTTTTTTTTTTTTTTTTTTTTTTTTTTTTTTTTTACACAGGGTTTGACAAGTTTAAGGATCCCTAGCTTTATTGACAGCTATATTACGGGTTAAGGATTCCTAACTTTATTGACAAGCTAAGAGCTGTTACCTACATTAGCTCATTTGAAAGCATTTTTTTTGTTATGAGACATACAAGTACGGAACAGGATGAAGTGGAGCCATCTGTGGGCCAGCATTTCATTTGATCAACTGACTTTATCTCTTTTGACATCATTATCCCTGTACGAATGTGTTCCATACTCGAGTCATCCTGGGTATGTATAAATCTCAGATGGAGTGATGTTCTGGAAAAGGGTACAGCCAGAGTGAAGTTGCTGTTTTCCCTGCCCGTCTTGGGGCATAAAAGCTTGTTTCACGCTGTCCTCGAAGTGGATCCAAGTGTGGTATTTTGACAATATTGGCCTTGTACATAACAGTAAGGCCACCCACATCCCTCCTATGTTGAAGGCTCTGCTGAAATGACAGATCTATCCGGGATGGTCCAGGCGAGGATGGGGACGTCTTGCTCTATTCTCTAACTCTGTCAAGCAGTCGCAGATGAGAGGGGGGGAGGCAAACCAAGAAAGGGGAGCATACTCAAGGTGTGAGCGTACTTGTCCCTCGTACAGGATCTTGAAACCCCCTACTGTCAAGCAGATGCGAGATACGGCGAAGTGCTATAAGCTCCTGGCTGCCTTGTTTGCAAGATTTACAACATGGTTCTTCATGGTTAGTTTGGAGTCAAATTTCACCCCAAGGATAAACAACTTCTTCTCCAGGTGCCAACATCCTCCCATTCATCCTTACTACTGCACCAGCATTAAACCCTCATGGTGCCTAGAGACGATCATCATTTTCCTTTTCTCAGGGGCAAATGTTACTTTTCCATCTATTTCCCCAAACTGATATAGCTCTCAGCTGGGGATTGGATAGCTTAGAGCAGCTGGATTTCTTCTCTTGGTAAGTGAATGTCAGTGTACAGTCGTCTGCATATGCATGTGATTCTGGGATGAGATGAAGAAGGTCGTTGAAGTTAGACATTCCATAACAATGGTCCAGCATACTTCCTTGTGGAACACTTGCCCCAATAGGATGTCTTTCTGATTCTTTTCTCTCTCTCTCTCTTCTCTCCCCTTTTCTCCCTCTCTCTCTCCTCCCCCTTCCTCTCTCTCTCTCTTCTCCTCTCTCTTTTCTCCCCTCTCTCTCTCTCTCTCTCTCTCTCTCTGTCACATAAAGATTTCTAATTTCTCATGACTTGAAAATCGGTGGTAATTAAGGAAACGAGACATGAAATCATTGATCTCCTGAAGTCACTAACCTCCTGAAGTCACTGAGCTCCTGAAGTCACTAAAGCCCTAAAGCCACTGAGTTCCTGAAGTTACTGAGCTCCTAAAGTCACTGAGCTTCTGAATCACTGATCTCCTAAAGTCACTGATCTTCTGAAGTCACTGAGCTCCTGAAGTCACTGAACTCCTG